CCAAACACTCGCGATTTAAGATTATGCTCCATGGGAGAGTTTGAAGAACGACGCTACTTAGGTTCACATCAGTGTATGCCCCGTGAAAAAACTTAAACTCAAGTAACACCTCGCGGTAGACCCAATCAGCATCAATAAAATAGCCTATGATTGCCATAAATGCCTGCAAGAATAGAGATGTCCAGCAGTCCAATACAATCAATATCTTTTAAACTAACGGGTAATGTCCAAAGGGTACACTCCTGCCAGTCTTAAACAATGCTCCTTAATCACCGGCAGATTGTATCAGCAAAGGGAATTATTAGCAATGATAGTACACAGCGAGCCTGAAAAATAAGTCGCTAAAATGTTGGATACTCGATAAGATAAAATAGCAGTCAATTTATCGTAAGAAACTGTAAAATATCTTCTTCTCCAGCTTTTTGGAAAAAAAAATATATATATAAGCTAAAGACTCTCCCTAATATTAGCACCCAAAATAAGTTAGCAAAGTAGTAATAGCTGGATTAACAGAAAAACCTGTTACATACGCTATTTTTTTTAAAAAAAATCTAGTTATTTCTGTTCTAATGTACCATGGTATTATACCTTGTCTTTTACTTTTGGATTAACAGTATAAGTGTGCTCAAAAATAGCTCCACAACGTTAACAAATAATCTTTGGCACACCATCTGCACTATGAGCAACCTGGTGGTAGTGGCTCCAAACCTCTGCATATCACATCAAATCCCAGTTAATCTTGCTCTTACTCCCAATCCCAGTCTGTAACCACCAGCCTACCCAGCCATTATGCGCTATCCTACCGTAGAAAATAAAAGCCTTCTTTCGGTTAGGTCCAACGTAGGTAAGGGAAGAAGGAGCTGCTAGAAGGATAGTCGGTTAAAGAAATTTTTGGCCGGAGATATCGAGTGTGTATTAACTACTGGATAGAGGGGCTAGATAATTTGATAATGTTAAATAGCTAGGATTGGCTACCTCACTGTCATAGAGGGAGAATGCGAAGTCAGAGTGCTGATTTTGTAACATGATGAATTAGTAGGGAACCTAGAAGGTAACAGAGAAGAGAGGTATATAATAAGTAAAAATATATGAGGATAACAGCGAGTAAATCAACCTCAGAAGTAGAAAAAGAAATAAGCAAAAGTGATATATCAATTTTAGAGGGGTAACATAGTTATAAGTACAATAATATTTCATTAGTTTATATGATCCACCTTTCTATAGGCCTAACCCAGGTAACCCAACTAACCCAGCAGCAACCCAGCAATAACCCAGAAAAAACCCAATTCCCACCCCAACTTCCCTTTGAGATCCTAAAAGAATTTTAATCTTTCGAACCGTACTAGAAGAGTCTCGGAAATCTCACCTGTGCGTGAGATTTCGCTGACTGAAGCCCGCTATCATGACGCGGACCTAGGGTACCTAAGGTACCTCTTAAGCGTGGCCAGGAAAGCTGTATTTCTGTTCCGAGATTATATGATCCGTACACCTTCCCGCCTGCCCGATAATCCTGTTGTAGCTCTTCGAGCTACGTCTTGTCTATAAGCCTGCAGATAACTTGACCCTGTAGTAATTTAGAGATACTGTGAAATATAGCTGTTACGGACCCTTGCAACACTAAGAGCCGCGAGGCAGAAACGATAGGACAACAGCGGCCCGAGGCTGATGACGCTACGGAGGAAACATGGATCACGTGATATGGTATGCCGGCACCATATGGTATACGACATACCAAATGGTATGCCGCAGACCTATAAGGTATACAGGATGGTATACTCTAGGAGGGCTATATAAGGACGCTCATTCACCCACCTGTTAGATAGTTCTTGTTTAGTTCTTCGTGTTCAATAACAATTACGTTCTTTGATAGTAACTTGTTACTGCTATTAGATTCGCCTATCCACTATCACAGGGAGGTATACGTACCAACCTGGCCTTACTTCTATCTTCGCTGCATCCAGGATCCTCAGGGAGGATCACCGAGACACTCAACACCCGTTCCAGTTGGAAGAGCCACTGAGCTCTCAGGCTAAGTATCACCCATCCAAGACTCAGGATCAACCAGTTGATCACCAGTGCTTGAACTTATCTACGGTAGCAGGCCAGCGCAGCTTAGACGGATCCTAGGGTTTGACAATAGCCTACCTGTTTGCCTGTCTGCCATCAGCTCTATCAACCCTCCAGCCAGCGCGCACCTTGACAGATTTTAGATTAATATTATTTAGCCTAGAAAGATACACCAAGTATTATATATAGGGAATATGCATTTCTATAACTACTAGCAAGAACATTAAACTTTCAGGTTAACCGCCCCTAACTTAATCTTAACATTTCAATAGGTAATTAGTTATGAACTAGATCTGGGCTAAAAGGATTTCAAGTTCTTTCTTAAATTTTGAAAATATTAATACCATGAACTCACGCTGCTGGTTGGTATCAACCAGAAAAGATATAAAAAACAGTATGTTATTTTGATGACTGAACAGCTTTATGATTAAAAACTATGTAAAAGTTGGGTTAAATTGGGTCTTACTTGGTTTTATTTGGGCCCCAGCATTGGGTCGAGGTTGGGTTTGCGGAAGTCTACTTATTTGATATCTCTAATATAAATTATAAATTATAATGTAAATATTAATTTTTTTTATAAATTTAACCAATTAATTTTTTATCTTTCCGAATACTACTTATTAGAGTAATATAACGTAATCCACGGGCGAGCGGTCCATTTTCGCGTCAACTTCCAACATTCATCCTTTAACATTTTATATTTTTGCAACTACCATACAAAATGCCTCTTTCTCAGGAATCACGAATTCAAATGGCTATTGAAGCTTATAATAATAAAAAATTTATTCAAAATTAAAGGCAGCTGCAGTGTTTTGTGTCTAAAACTACCTTTCCTAATCGACTTAAAGGAACTCAACAACGGTCGGAAACACGCGCCAATAACCATAAATTAACGGTTCTCGAAGAAGTTCTTTCTAAGCATCTGCTAGACGCAGGTAAACGAGGCCTTCTCAATTCGACCAGAGTTTCTGCGTGAAATGGCACAGATCTTACTTTGAGAACGTATACGGGATCCTAATGCAGCTATTGGTATTAACTGGGCATCTACCTTTGTTAAATGTCATCTAGCACTATGTACACGATATAATCGGAAGATCACACACCAACGCGCGAAACAGGAGGATCCAAAGATTATAAAACTATAGTTTACAATTGTACACGAACCCATTCAGGAACATGGTATACATGAGAATGATATAGAACTTTGATGAAACTGGCGCTCTACTTAACATCTAAAGTTATTACTGCAGTGAAGCGCAGTAAAAGACCTCAAAGAATTATCCAAAGGAATCGCGAATGGGTCACTACCATCGAATGTATAAGTTCCAGGGAGATTGATATATTACCAGTGGTTATCTTAAAGGGAAAAGAACATCAGGCTCCTTGGTACCAGGAGTCTAATCTATCTCAAGATTGGAAGCTCACCAATAGCGCTAATGGCTGGACAACAGATAAGATAGGTCTCAAGTGGTTAAAGCAAGTGTTTAATCTTTTTTCTAAACTACATTCAACTGGTGCGAAGCGGTTACTTATTCTTGATAGCCATTCAAGTCATCAAACTGCTGGATTTGACAATTTCTGAGAATGCAATAATCTGTCTTTGTATGTTTCTGCATACTTCTTATCTTTTTTAACCATTTGCTGTTGGTGTTTTTGGACCGCCTAAACGCGCGTACAGTAAATTAGTTAAAGACATAATGAAAGCTGGAAATAACTATATTGACAAACAGGATTTTTTACACATATACTTCTGCACGTGAAACAGTCTTTACTTCAAAAAATAGATGTAATGGCTTTACGGGGGCTGGCCTTAAGCCATTAAATCAAGATTAGGTTCTTGAAAAAATCACCCTTCAATTTCGCACACTAATACCACCATTACTTACTGAAGGCTCAATATTATCAGCTTTTTAACACCTCAGAACTCTCGCCAGATTGATCGTAAGGTTCAAAGGCTACAAAGAAGTCTTCAAAAGAAAAGAAAACTTTCTAGCAGTCCAGTCTCATATTCAACATCTTGAAAAAGCTGCGCAAATGGCAATAAATACGGAACCTTCCTCTTCAACAAGAAGACGCACGGCTCTAGAAAATGATCTCTTTATATCTCTGTACAAGAAGGTCGTGACCGCATTCAGCAGCTTGATACGCAGCTCAATGAGCAGATTGATGAGCCTACACCTGTGCCTCGCCAACGCGCTCCACCACGCTGCAGTAGCTGTGGGACAGTAGGACATACAATACGAAGCTGTCATAGTAATTAGCTGTATTTTAGTGTGCTAAATTGTCTAATTCCATGGCGTTGGTGGTTACAAAGCTTCAAATTTGTGGTTGTTGCAGTTAAAATGGACCGCTGGCCCGTGGATTACGTTATAGATTTTAGCAGATTACGTAACAGTATTAATTTTATAAATATTTAATAAAATATTTATTCGAGGAATAAATTTTGGCGTAATAGAGATAAAAGAAAAAGGTGTAATAAAAATCTTAAAATATGATTGTAATAAATATAATTAATATAAGTATTAAAATAGATAATAAACTAAATTATATAGTTTTATATTTCAAATTTAACTATAAAGATAGAGATAATTTTTTATACTATAAAGTAACCGGACAACGAAGCGGCGTGACAACGGGCCGGCGCGGCACCTCACCGCTTATCTTAAACTTTAACGTTTTATTCAAACAACGCATTTCAACACTGTAAAAATTGCTATGGAGGCCTTGTCTCGAGATGAGCGTTTAAAGCATGCAATTGAGGCTTTTAATAAAGGTCTTTTTGATACTAAAAAGGCCTGTGCAGAGGCCTTTGATGTCAAGATAAGCACCTTAAAGATCGGTTGAATGGAGTCAAATCTCGCAACGAAAGGGAAGCGAATAATCGCAAGCTCTCTAACAACGAGGAATCAGTATTGAAGCGAAAGATCCTTGATATGGACTCTCGTGGATACCCTCTTACTATTGCAAAGGTCCATTATCTCGCTGAATGCCTCCTTCGGGCCAAATTGAAGCTATTCGAATCGCCTGAATCCTCCGAACCTGCCTTTATCGGTGAGCGCTGGTTCCGCCGCTTCATCAACCGCCACGAGGCTGAAATCAAGACAAATTACTCAAAACGTTATGATTATCAACGAGCGAAATGCGAAGACCCCAAACTTATAATGCGTTGGCTCGAATTAGTGCAGAATACCATACAAAAATATGGGATTCTTGAACAGGATGCTTATAATATGGATGAGACGGGTTTTCAAATGGGCGTTCCTTCAACTGCAAGGGTCGTATGCGGTGCAGAATCGCGAGAATCGAATGCTCGAGCGATTCAACCCGGTAATCGCGAATAGGTCACTTCAATCGCCACGATCAGTGCAGCAGGATACGTTCTACGGCCGCAGATCATCTTCGCCGGTAAGCTTCATCAAGAGAAGTGGTTTGAAGCTATTCCCAATGACTGGCGGGTCAGCGTGAGCGAGAACGGTTGGACTACCGATAAACTCGGTTTTGAATGGCTTCAATTTTTTGACGAATGGCTTCCAAAACGATTGGTCAATATCGCCTTTTAATCCTCGATGGCCACGGATCCCATTCAACGATTGAATTCGATCAATTTTGCAAAGAAAAAAGCATCATTCCTCCCTACATGTCTCCGCATTCATCTCATAAACTTCAACTTCTTGATGTAGTGTGTTTTGCACCTCTAAAGAAGCTCTACGGCCAGAGGATCAATGCGGCGGTACAGGGAGGCATTCAATCGATCGATAGGAAGGCTTTTATATCGCACTATAAAATCGTCCACCCACGGGCCTTCTCTACAGCGAATATAAAGAAATTTTTCGCTTCAACAGGCCTTTTTCCGTACAATCCACAAAGGGTCATTTCAAACCTTAAATTGCGCGTTTCAACAACTACACCACCTTCGACTTCATCTTCAAATCATTCGTTTTACCTCGGAAAACCGCCTATGAACCTCTACCAATTGAATCATCAACGCGAAGAGATTCAAGCTCTGCAAGAATCGGGTTTATCGTCGCTTCTAGCGGAACAAAGGTATGAAAAGGTGTATAAAGCGACCGAAATCGCTCTGCAGAATACTACGCTTCTTCAGCAAGAATTCAACAACTCCGCGCGGCCGGTCAGTATAAAAAAGCGAATAAAAAGGCCTCACGTCCATATCTTCAAGAAGGAGGCACTTTGAGCGGTCAAATGGGACGTCAAATCGCTAATGAAGAGGCCGCTGAAGAGGCAAGGAATCGGGCTGCAGCGGTTGCCCAGGGGCCCTCTACGCGCCGGCCACCTCGCTGCAGTAATTGCAATCAGGAAGGCCACAATCGCTGAAAATGTCCAATTTCTAGCCTTGCCTAATTAGGAAACAGAGTCTGCTTTAATTTTACTGGATTTCTCGCATTTTGAGCGTTGAAATCGCTTCATTTTTGATCAAGTTGTTGAAATCGAACGTTTTGGTGGTGGTGTTGAGCGGATCCGCGCCGGCCCGTTGTCACGCCGCTTCGTTGTCCGGTTACGTTATTCATATTTTTAAGATTAGTAAAAGTAATTAACAGTAATAAAAGCCTTTAATGTTATAGTTAAAAATACTTATATATCTCTTTAATAATAGTAACTAAACCTTTTTATTATAAAATAGCCGTCTGCGCAGAGCGATATTTAACCTCTTTTTACCTCGTTCCTTTCTACCGCTCGCCTCACTACACAAAGCAATAATTAATTTTTTTTTTTTTCAAAACGATCTGCCCGCGATACTTCCAATATACCATTATATAATTTTAAAAACTATATACAGACTACTAAAGGCTTACATACAAGTTATTTATTTTTTCCGAATCAACTTCTATACAGCTGAAAATCGCATTTAACCCCAAAAATAAACCCCCTTTTTAAAAAAAAATAATATTCCCCCTATTCTTTCGAAAATGCACTAAATCGCGCCCGAAACGACCGAATATCTAATCAATTAATTTAATTTATTAATTAGCGCGGCGAACTATTTGTAAATATTATTAACGATATTAAAGAATTTCTATCGATTCCGGTAATTATTTCGCTATTTACTTTAGGCTCGATTAAATTCGATTTTAGATTTTCGGCTGCGCTTTATTTAATTTTAGCGCTATAAATAGCTTTAACGCTAAAGAAACGTTTTAAATACTAAGATACCGCAAAAGTTACGTAGCTAAAAGAACCCGCAGCTATATTAGGTTTTCTTTACCTTACTTAGTAAGGGATTTAATATCTTTAAAAATATTCGTTAAATATTTCTAGATTTTTAACACCGGAATACGTTATAGCTCTTCTTTTATCTTCGAAATAGTAGTATTTAATTTATAATCTATATTTAACGTGCTATTTTCTACTAAATTTATTTTCTAATTTTATAGGTATACCTAACTAGTAATACAGTATATAAATAATCATTTTTAAGTATATCCTTTGGGCAAATATACCGCAAATTGAATCATTACTATAAACAGTTTAATTGGTTAATTACTCTAGAAAAAGTCCCCATAAAATATTAAAAACGCTCAATCTATATTTATTATTACTATATAATAAATATTAGCTAATACATATTTATATTTACAGCTAATTTTACTATTTTTATTAATACAAATTTATCTTTTGCGACCCCCGGTACTTATAGGGTAAAAAATTAGATTAAAAAAAATCTCGAATAATATTTCCGTTCTTAATTATTAAACCAAATTAAATAACTAATTTGTCTAGAGCCCTTGTTCTCGGCTTTGGACTGTTATAATTTTTCTATCATTTATCTCAAAAAAGAAAATAAAAATTTAGTTTATTTAGTTTAAAAAAATCCAGACGGAATCTTTTTAATAACTGGGTATTTAAAGTACTATATAGGCCGCATTAATATTCTTATTCACAATATAAATTAAAAAATTTTCAATTTAAAAATATCGGTGTTTATCCACTTATACAAATTAAAAATAAGGCCTGGTTAATATTATTAGATAAAAATGTAAAATGTTTTTAGTTATAGTATAAAATCGTTATTTATAACGTTCCGGCAGATTAATACTTAAAAAAAATTTAAGATAAATTTTTTTTCTTTATAATAATATAAATCAATTTCTATTGAAAGCACGCATTCTATATCTCAAATGGTATAATAGATTATTATTACTAATAACCGATAAAAGATCGTTATTATTAATTGTTTTCTTCGCTAATCACGGAGACGTAAATATTTTATTAAGAAATTACTTCTATTTTTGTAATTGAACTTTAAATATAAAATTTTATAATCTGGCTTACTATTTAGTTTCGTATTTATATTATGCTTTATTATAAACATATTTAATGTTTTTATCGCATCTTTTTGCTATTTTTATTATATCGGAACATATTCTATAAAAGAATATTTTTACTGAATACTTACAGAATTAATACCGCTATCTAATTTATTGAGATTTATATAGATAAATAATTCTCGGACAGATAAAAGAAATAAAAAGAAAATAAAAAAGTAAAAAAGAAAATTGAACCTTTTTTAAATATTCGAAGGGTTATAAGCGTAAAAAGGGGTAAAATTATATAGAAGAATTAAATGACTAAAATTACAGAAAAAGATAAAATCTATACCAGAGCCTATATTAGAGATATCGAATAAATTATTTTTATTTTTATTTCCGGATCCTTAATAACCGTAAACAATATTTTTAGCTGTCTTTTCCATTTACACATTTGATTTTAAATTACCAGTTCTTGAATGCGTTATTTAAAGATTTAAAGACCTTAACTAAACGCTACATATCAAGTTAGGATCGATTAAAATTATAATCGAGCTTTTAAATAAAGTAATTAAAGTTATTTTACCAATGTTACTAATAATTAAGTTATTATAAAGGTAAAGCTCGAGCCGTTTCTTCATTCTAAGAGATATAGCTGAGAAATATAGCTTTACTTCTGCGAAAATTTAGCTATTAATCTTAATAACTAATACCCTGCGATCTAGGGTGAAAATGACTTTTAACGTTATTAAGGTTTCTATAATAAATACAGCCTAAATTAATCGAATAGAGGACATTATTAATCTTTAGAATGTTATTATCATAATCATTTTTATTATCTTTATTTAACCGATTGCTACCTCGGTTACTTATACTAGTAAATATATATTAACGAGAAGATAACTATAAAAAGAGATTATTAATAAGTCTTTTTATTTCTATATTATCCTTTATTTTCTCTCTATCTATTATATTTAGGGTCCCGCTCCGGGCACACACCAATTTCGCTCGGGGTACCACCCCCTCCGCTCCGGGAACACCGATTGGTCACGTGTACATAGATAAGATAAGAATTATTATTAAACTTCTCTGCGCTGTTTTTCCACCAACTGTTTGACAAAGGTCCTTCACACGGCCTTCGCACATTACCAGCGTCATGGAAGCTATGGAGACTGATACAGACCTCTTCAACGCCGGTATTGATTTCGATTATAAATACGAAGCCCTTTTTCCTGACGCTAAAAGCACAAATTGTCGTGATGATATTCCCAGCGATGCCCTTACCTTTAAAGTACTAACCCCAAATATAGCGATCGATCTCTGGCAAATCACTATACAATGAAGAAGGAGACAAAAATGAGAATATCCCTATAGAGATTCCAGCATCAGAAGAGGCTACAGTTTCTCTACTACCTCTTCCAACTGATTATTCGTGGTACAACAATGAAGAAACGCGGGCATTTATTGATAATTGTACAAAGTAACATGGCTATTCACTCACTAATAAAAACTCCAAAACAGATCCTGTCAGTAAATTCATTAATGTTTGATATCTTTACTGTAACCGTAGTAGTAGATACAAGGATTAGATTACTGAAAAGAATTGTATGCAGAAAACAATTATATACTGTACTCAATACCCTTTTCGTGCAATTCTTTGCAACAGCAAGGATTGGACTATCCGGACACTAGAAATCAAAGATCCCAGTTATAATTACAGTAAATTGCTAATATATACACTTCCTTGGCTTCATATACAGGAGAGGAAAAGACTTCTTAAGATGATTACCGGCTAATTTAGTACAGGTATCTATCTTTGCCAGTATCTTGAGTCTGCGCGTTAAAATAGCTCCAAAGATATAATTCCACGAGATATATCTATAACCTACGATAAAGGCTGTACCGCAAATTTATTGATAGGTAACTCTTTATCTAAGCTCTTCTTACTGTACTCTCAAAGGAAAGCAAGTGGCTCTTTAATTATATAATTGACAATAAAATTAAATAATTGGTCTTTTCTGTACTTATTAAAGCTGCCTCGAGCTCTTACAGAGGAACCTATACATTCTTGCTATAGGTTGTATATACAAGATAAACAAATTTAGAATGCCGATGTTAGATATTACTGGCGTCTTCTCTACTGGTCAAACGTTCTATGCAATATTCGTCTTCTTGCATAATGAGAAGTAACCAGCTTATATCTTTACCTTTTAGACTTTTAGTTACGATATGCACCAAAATTGGAGTTCCAGTGCTGCGCACGATTCTTTCTGACAAGGAGCTAGCCCTAATTAGCG